TTTTTAACTCAAGTTTGAGAGAACAGCATAAAATCTCAGTTTCAGACAAGCAAAACGCTGCCTGACTTTTATCTTGCTGTCACAAGAGCCAAATACTTGTTTTTCAAGCAACACGCATTTAGAGAGAGAAAGTTAAGTCGCTGAAAACAAGTAAGCTGTGTTGTTCTTGCTTGAAGGCGAGGACAGCGTTCAAACATTTGTACGGCTTTTAAAAAAATAAAATAAAAAAAATATGAGGAGAGTAGACGAGCATGAAAGGAGTAAATTCTGGAGAAGAGCAACAGCAGGAACATGAAAGGGATGAAAGCATGAGGGATAAGAGAGAAGAGGACGAGATGTATGGAAAACTGACAGATCAAAATGTAGTTAACTTTAAAAGAACAATGCAAAAAAGAGAAAAGGCACTCGAGCTTGTCTTGAGGACGAAACGCTGTGACAGGAAGTGGGGAACAGAAATGAAAAGAAAGGAGAGGAGTTGCTAAAAGAGCAGAGAGGCTATGGCAGAGACGAGATATGTTTGGTGAAGTGGAATCTGGGCTGATATGATATGATGGTGTGCCCTTATCGCCACATAGGCGTGCGCTGCAGCCAAGAACGGCCCGATGCACTCCAGTGTGAAGAATGTGATCTTATGTGGTGTTGCTATCGCGTCAGGCTGATGTGAAGCGGGGGGGGGATGGACGGAAAGCCCCGCTGTGTTCGAGCATGAAGGACAGACCACAACTCATTTGAATCACATGGATGTATTCCAGCAGCTAGACAGAGCCTTAGTGAGATGTATGCATGCATGCAAGCAACAGGGGGTCTATAGAGCGCCACGTGCTTTCAAGACCTCCAACAGTACTGAAAACCCATGCACCAATAAAACTGGAATAATGAAACAATGAAGCAAATCAAGCATTTTAAATGTGACTGCAGGAATGAATATAATAAAAGCAATTCGAATAAAAAGCATGAATCTATTTATTTATCACTCAAACACTCTTCATCACCTGACAGAGCAACTAATTGCACGCTGGCCGCCTCTCAAAGCACATCATTGATGTTTATCCCGCCTGTAACAACCGTTCTGTGGACTGCTTTGTGTTCAGGAAACTCGGGTTTTCCCTATAATTACATTTCTATTCAGACCTCAGATACCAGAGCGGGATAATTTTTTTTTTTTTACTTTCATGTCTATTTTAGTTGAGCTTTGAACGGCAGTGACAGTACCTCTGTGACAGTATGTAGAGCAGAAAATTCAAAAACACTTTAATACACAGACCCAGTACACAGCACAACTTCTGAGTAATGACGGTTGTGGCAGCAGCTCCACATTCATATCCAATATTTTTTTAGGTTAAAGCAAACAAAGCTAGCTTCAACAGCCACCCACATACAATGTGTGCTTAAATAT